GGAGGCAGGTAGCTGGCAGGAGAGAAAAGAGGCAGTTTCCCACAGCCCAAACCTCTGTTCTTTCCTGCCTGAGACCAGAAGCCCTCAGTCTTTACCCCAAGGCCAAGCTGGTGCAGCAGATTTTAAAAGGAAACAAACAAACAAGCTAGAGAGGTTTAGATATCCCCTGGGGGGTGATTTCTCTTTCCTTCTCTCTGTCTATCTCTGTCTCTCACCACCAAGGGCACACACCCTATGACAAAAACCTTTTTTAAAAAAAAAAACAAAGACAAGTCACATGCCCATTGCGTACTGGAGTTGGGGCTCCCCCACGGTTTCCATCCTCTCCAGTCCTGCAGGCCTCCCCTGCTCTGGAGACCTCCCTGGCCTGTCTCCGTCTCTGCCCCTTTCCTGCAGGCCCCTCATGCTCAGCTTGAGACATCCTCGCCCTTGTCGTGCTGGGTCTCTGTGCCCAGGTCCTCTCTGTCTCTGGATCTTTCTTCCCAAAGCCTCTCACGGTGCTCTGTCTTTCCTTGTGTGCCTGCCCCAACTCACTGCCGCCCTCTCGTTCACTGTCTGCGCTGTCGCGGTAAGGCCCTGTAAGTCCCTCCCAGACAGGATGGAGGCAGAGCTGCTGGGCCCTGGTGCCATCCTCGTCCTCATCCTCACAGTTTCCACTATCAGCCACCCCCACCTCAGCAAGCCCCCAAGAACGAACCCACCCAAGAGCTTTCTGGGTCCCCCGGGACTCAGCATTCCACTCATTTTCAGGAGAGGACCCAGGTTGCTGCTGGATTCTGGGGTGAGTCGTCTGGTCCTAGAGCTGTGACAAGGACATATCAGTGCCTTCAGCTGCCCTCCTTGGGTTCCAAACCTCCTTCCAGACACCGGAGAGCGCACCCCAGCCAGCTCAGAACACACTGACTCTCAGGATGGAGGCTGACTTAGAGGTGGCAGTGGCCTGAGCAGGGGATGCCCTGAACACCCTGAGGTCACCTGGGGTGATAAGGGTCATTAGACATATAGATGCTGGAGACCCGCTGCCAGCTTGGGAATCAGGATCTCTAGAAGCAGGTCCCAGAAATCCACAGTAGCTTTCCTGGCACCGGCTGCAGTCCACAAGTGTGGCAGGTGCTGCGTGACCTCAGGGAGCCTCTTTCATTTTGAGTCTTGATGGGAAACAGTTGAAAAGAAGCAGAGGACCCAGACCATGATAAGCACGGCCTGGACTGGTGGGCTGGGGTGATTTTCTTTTCTGTTTTCCAAACCTCTCCTCATCTGATCATAAGATTTTCATCGATCGTGATTATTCTCTCTCACTCCTCTGGACCAGGAGTCAGGAGACCGGGGTTCTGCCCAGACGAGGTCCCTGGTAAGTCACTCCGTTTCTCAGTTAATCCAGTGACCATCTCACATAACCCGGGGTTGGCAGGAGGCCGCATGGCTCCCATCTGGGACAGCCACCCTGCACCCTTTCGCTCCTCCAGGGCCAGCTTTGTGGCTGCTCAGTGTGTTGATGCAGTGAGAGAGGGGCTGGGAGCCATGGGAAGTGAGGGGATCCCAGGGGGCCTCTTCTCCTGCTCCTCCCTTCCCACTTCTCCAGCCCTGCAGACTGGGAAGGGAGTGAGGTGGCAGCAAGAGGAGGAGGTGTCATTGCCAGGGTTCTTCTTCTCACCCAAGCTGGCAGAGGGGCGGGACTGGCAGTGGTGACACCAGGGCCACTCAGCCCCCGCTTTTCACAAGCACTTTCTTTTTTGGGTGGAAAAAATTGGAGGGAGGGGGTGAGGAGTCTGGGGTTCATAAGCCAGGCTGTAGGACCCTCCACTAGCCCATCAGGATGTAAATCTGCCCCCAGCCTCTCTCTTCCTCCAGAGACATATCCCCAGGGCCCTCTGATTCATAAACCTCCCGCCCCAGAAACCTAGGCTGGGACTCCCGTTTTCCTGATCAGAGGCAAGGGGGTGGACCACTTGACCATTTGGATAGCATGGAAAAGAGGAGGGCATAAAGAGACAAGAATGAGACTCCATTTGGCCTTCCACAGTTAAGCACTTAGCAAAAAAACATCCCCCAAGGAGATGTCAGCATTTGATAGTCTCATGGCTCCAGGGCAGTTACTCAGGAGAGTCTTACTGAAAGCTGTCATGTTTCCCAAAAGGTAGCCAAAAGTCTCCAGGTCTCTCTTTCAAGCAATGCTGCTCTACTCAGACTAGCAGCCAGAACCTTCCTCCTGTCTAAGGCGTGGGTAATGGTGGGTAAGGGCCAGGCCTGCGTTTGTGGTGCCATCCTGTATCAGTCTCCACCCTCAAGGGACACACTGATTCTCTCTCCCCCTCATCCTCCCTGGGTCATGCCCGCCTCCTGGGGTCCCCAGCTTCATCTTTGCCTGCCAGCTTGCCTCTTGGTTCAGCTCTAGTTGGGAACAGAGAGTCCCCATGGGCCCCTAAGGGTGAAACCCTGCTGGGCTGGGACAGAAATGTAGAGATGGGGCCAGCCCCCAAGGGAGAAATGGGGAGGGTTGGAGGGGGAGGCAGGAGGAGAGGTAAACCTTTAACAAGATGAAAATGTTCAAGTATTCTTCAAAACATTCATTAAAATGTAAATCTTTATCTATCTGTCTATATTTAATTTTCCAGAGGGCATGTGTGCTTGAGGGAGAGAGACAGAGAGATAGAGAGGGGAAGTGAGAACACTCCTCCCTACACTCCCTTCATCTCTCCCTGTTTGGGGGATTGGGGGCATGCACACACATGAATATAGTATATGTGTGTTTTAAGAATTATTTATTTAATCAATTCCATTTGTTATTATTTTTTAAATTTTACTAGAGAGAGAGAGAGAATAAAAGAAAGTGAGAAAATAAGCTGCCAGGTCCAGGACTCAAACTGCATTTGGCCATGTGGGAGTCAAGCTCTTTAACCACCATGCTGCCTGCTGGCCCGCATGGTGTGTGTGTGTGTGTGTGTGTGTGTATGTGTGTGTGTGTTTCTTAAGAGAGATTTTTGCTATAGGGCATGTGCACTCACTGGAGAGACAGAGAGAGAAAAAGTGAGAAAACCTCTCGTGGGGGTAGCCATGCCACAATCTCTTTTCCTCCACTCTCCTCTCAGGATTTTGAGCATGCACACGCATGTACCCAGGGTGAGTTTCAAGCTTCTGGGTCCAGTTGACCATATGGGAATCCAGTGCCTTAACTGCTACGCTATCTGCTGCTCCCCCTCCCCCTGTTCCAGTGTATTTTTAAAGCTCCCAGGTCTGGGACTTGAACAGTGGGATCAACCATCCAGCTGCCTTAACCACCCCGCTATGAGCTGGCCTTTTATCTATATATTGACATGCACAAAATTCCTTGACACCTTGCTGAGTGCAAAAGATACACATTAGAAAGCAGCATGGGTTGTGTGCACATAAAATTATATAGTTGTGTGTGTATACGCAAAAGACAGAGACTATGTCCAAGGAGTGATGTCTGGGAGGGTAGTTCGCAGAAATGTTTATTCTTTTTGCCTTGGGGGGGTTAGAATTTGGGGTGATTTATACGGTCTCATTTTTACTTTTCTGCACTGCTTAAATTTCCTATGTACTTATATTTCATCTTTACAGACAGGAAAACTCCCAGTGATGCTATTTTCAATCAGGGGAAGAAGGCAGAGTTTTCATCATACAAAGAGTGTAACGACATTAATTAACAGTAAAGGGAAATAGAGAGAGGAGCCCGCATAGTCCCATCACCGAGGCAGCCCTTCAGAGCGTGTGGTGGGTTTCCTTCCTGTCAGCCGGCTCTGAATCTGCTCAGAGCAGCTTTTCCATCCAGGTACAATAATAGACTGGGAAGTGCTGCACAGGTACAGATCTCAGGAAAGGCTCAGGGACAGCAGGTGGCGTAGTGGTTAAGGCACTAGACTCCCATGTGGCTGACCGCGGTTCGAGCCCTAGACACAGGTGGCTTGAGACCCACCTGGCTGATGTGTGTGTGCCCAACCAAAATCCTGAGAGGAGAATGGAGGAGAGGAGATTGAAGTGTGACCACCACCATCCCCGGGGGTGATGTTTTGCTTTCTGTCTCTAATGAGTGCGCCTGCCCTGCAGCAAAAATCTCTCTCTCAAAAAAAAAAAAAAAAAAAAAAAAGGCTCACAGTCCCCTGAAAAGTTTATTTCACCAGTCTATGCATGAGGCATGCGAGGCTGACTTTCAGGCAGGGGAAGTGACTGGCCCAGGCCACACATAGCTAAAGGACAGGCAGAGCCAGCCGTGGCAGCTCCCTGCCACTTCCAGAGTGCATGGCCGCCATGCCCTGGTGGGGAGATGTGTGGGCCGGCCTGGCCCAGCCTGAGGCTCTGCTACCCCCAGCTGCTGCTGATGCAATCCGCTTTAGGGAACTCTTTAGGGAAGCCCACCGGCTTCCAGGGCTGCACCGCCCCGCCCCGCCCCCGGTGCTGGAGGTGCAAGATGCAGTCGACTCAGCCCACGTGGGCGTCTGGGCAGGAGAGAGAGGACAACACTTCGCACAGACACCTAGTCCCAGCAGCAGGCATCAATAGTTCTGTCGAATGTTCGTGGTCGAAGCTGCTTGGAGTCTGCGAGTGCTGTGAGCGCTGAGAGATGGCCCAGCGAGTCCCATCTGGGCTTTTACCGGAGGCGTCCCCGAGGACAGGGCCTTTGAGCTGAGACTTCAAGCAGGGTGGAATTTCCCTGAGGGTCGGGGGAGAGAAACGGCCGGCGTTGCAGGTGGCCGGGTTGACGCTCCCAGAAGGCAAGGTCTCTAAGCGCTCACTGCCCGGCACGGAAGGACTCTCAGTCTTCACCGTGGGGGGCCCTCTAGTCCTAGCCATCAGCCTAAAATTTGCCAAGTATTAGCCACGAGGGGGCGGGGTGAGGCGGGGCGGGGCCGAGGTGGCGGGGGGGGGGGAC